AACAAAGACCTCTTTCATGTTGTAGCTTTACTTAACAAGGTCCCCTTTAATGTTGTAGCTTTACTTAACAAGGTCCCCTTTAATGTTGTAGCTTTACTTAACAAAGACTCCTTTAATTTTGTAGCTTTACTTAACAAATATCCCTTTAATGCTGTAGATTTACTTAACAAATATCCCTTTAATGCTGTAGCTTTACTTAACAAGGTCCCTTTAATGTTGTAGTTTTACTTAACAAGGCCTCCTTTAATGTTGTAGCTTTACTTAACAAGGTCCTCTTTAATGTTGTAGCTTTATTTAACAAAGATCCCTATAATGTTGTAGCTTTACTTAACAAAGATCCCTATAATGTTGTAGCTTTACTTAACAAGGTCCCCTGGTTTTACATTTAGATATATAAGTAATGAATTTTCTCTTACTTTGTTTTATTTGTGGAGTAGCACCAACCTATTTTGTTTGTTTTTTAAGTTCAAAGCTACATAATGGGTATTTTGTCTGTGACCAAGGCAGGGATTGAACCCTCATTTTTACCACTATACGCCTTCAACATTAACTCTGAGGCACCAAATTGGGGACACGGGTAATGAAAGAAATATTTACGTCAAATGAATTCGGAACTTGTTTTCATTAATTCAGGTTTTAACATTTCTTATTGAATAACTTGTGTACAAATCCAAAGACGGAAATATTGTGTCTAAGGCGGTTCAGCGGTTACTGTGTCAGACTATGGACCTGAAAGTCCATGGTTTGCATCCTGTTATCGCAAAAAATTAACATAAAGCGCCATAGGTCTGTGGTTGTTTTATTAGAATGTCGATCAAGTTCCATTATTCTGTCTGCCAAGATTATCTCAAGAGCTAGTGGTCAGTGGTGTTGACTTGGAATGAAAGGAAAATAGATTATTATAAAGTCATGAAATATAGGTCTAATTGAGATGTCACTTTAATCATGATTCTGAAAGAACATAATAACGTATCATTATATTACCCATCTTATGCATTTGATTGTTGAACTTGTAAACAAAACAGTTAGGTATTGTAAGCATAAAACGCTTATATATGATAACGATATAAACAAAACTAAAACCTCAATTTCACTTCTTTACTCCAATAAACCAATTAATTGTCTGTGCATAAAAACTTCACAAACCCTGAGGTTAATATATATATATATATAAAGATTTATTGGAGATCAATAAGCTTCAGTTGTATTTGTTACTTCCTTGGTGGTGACGTTTCGAGAAAACGTTTTTTAAACTAGAAACAAACCCTTTGGTTAAAAGTCTGATGATGCAAATCTGAAGACTTCAAAAAGACTTAGCTTTAAACCAGGCCCGACAAAATATCGTGCACTAATCAAGAAAGTATAATCATTATTAATATCCTTAAATTCTGTATTTCTTCACAAGCAAATATGCAATGAGTGATTTCATTTTTTTACACCAGAGAGCAGAACAAGACCGATTGGCCAAAATCCTTTGAATAATGCAATGCTTTTCATTAATGATAAATAATACAGAATTCATCCACGGTTTAATTCAACCAGATTTAAGAATTCAAAAACTTTCCCCCTTTTTACTGAGTTAGAGCTGCCATTTGATTAAAATCAGTAATGGTAAAATTGGCAGGTCATGAATAAAAACATGACTTTTGAAACCCCCTGTGAGTACCAACCAGGTGGTGTAGCTGGTGTTTCCTGAAACACGATGCACGCGTGAGGTTATTTATAGATATATATAGTGAACTTTGTTTCTCAAGACGTTATTTAGAAGTCACTTTACATACATAAAATCCGCTCTGTCAGAGCCACTGTTCAGAAATCGATTTGAAGGGGAAACATTTTTAAAAACAGCTTCGGACAACAGTGCATTAGTTTTTCCGATAATAAATGTTACGTTTTCTATTTTTAGTGCCAAGATACATAATGGGCTGTCGGCGTTCAGTCCAATGCGAGGAATCGAAACTCAAAGTTTAGTGTTGTAAGTCCACAAACATACTGTTGACCTACCAGAAGACATTAAGCTTGATAAATTAATAGATGTAACAACTAAGTATATGAGATGGGCCTGGCATGGCCTGGTGCTTAGGGCGCTCGACTCGCAATATGCAGGTCGCGGGTTGGAAAAAAAAAATCGCCGAACATGCTCACCCTTTCAGTCAGGGGGGCGTTATAATGGTGAATCCCACTAGTCATTGGTAAAAGAGTAGAACAAGAGTTGATAGTGGGTGTTGTTGACTAGCTACCTTCCCTCTAGTCTACCGCTGCTAAATTAGAGACGGTTAGCGCAGATATTTGAGACTTACCTCTACAAAATGGCAATACGCCACTCCAGTGAATAACACCGTGATCATTCATACACATGACACTAGCGCTCCCAAGTAACTGGTAGTTTATGTTACATGCAAATCTGCACCTGCTACCGGGAATTAAAGGTCCACGGGTGCACGTCATAAATCCATGATCTGGGACCATCAATGCAGGACATTCCTGAACTAAGAGATAATATTAGTTACTCCGATTGGTCTCTCACTAGTAAGCATTAACCATTATACTACTGAAAAACAAACAAGCGAAGAAAATGTTATAAAATTACACACTTTAATAATTAGATTTTAAACTCCTGGGTAGCCATTCACAAGGAAAGATGCGATTACTATATGCTGTCTTACAGTATTTATTAATGACATATGGAATGATTTAGCTATCATTCTTTGGTATCATAATCATAAAAGCCAAGTGTCGGTCGGTCACGCTCGATTTCTCTGAATTTCGTGGGTTACACGAGTCGAATTCCACTTTTTCTCCTATAATACTTTCCTATTTTCATTAAAATTATTTTAGTTAAATTCTAAACATCTTCACGTATTCTGCTATATAAAAACCTGTTAAGGAGGGAGTTTTTACATCAAGGATTTATTTAGCACTGAGTGAAATTAATTTGCCGTTTGTCATGAAGAACGATGATCGAGTATTTACAAGAAATGTGTTTTTAATAGAACTATTGCAATAATGTAATAGATGTGATTAGAAAATAACTGTGATCATTGAATGCTGGGACAAAGATCGATGCTGGAAAGAAACACTCTATATTTAAAGTAGAAATTGCTCATGATAGGCTTTGGTTTTCCGAAGCTAGAAAACCTTTTATTTTTCTTATGTCTGTTAACTTCACGGGTGGCGAAGTTACACATGAATGTTGGAGGATTAAAATTTGGTAGACTCTGGTTTCCCGTCATTTTTGCAGGGCTTTTATACTAGTTTTCTAATATAATACGATATCACTTAGGTGTTATGCTACTGTCTTTGGTACTTATTAATAAAATACTAAAATGGCATAGTTATTACGTTGTTATTAGGGGTGCGTGGCGATACAGCGGTACGATACGAGTATCGTATCCTGAAGCAGCGATACGATCGTATCGATACATCATCCCATACGATACGATTCATGTATCTTCACGAAATTTGGCAAGCTTTCAGTAAACATTATAAGTCTTTTCTACAGAAAAAATATTAATTTTTAATTGAGTATTTTTGCTAAAAATTAATGTTTTAATATATGGAATCTCCGAGTGTAAAGCGATTTTCATGTTAAGATTAAAAATACTTTTCTGCATCTAACAATTAACAAATTTCTTTTGTATGATCTCTAAAACCTCCGAAGTAAATTTCCAACTTTATTATTTTCGATAAATCTTTATATTTTATCTGCTATATTCACTGCCATTATTTTATGTAAAATCGGTCAGTTTGACCAGCCTCGTAACTACCATAAAAATATCAAAATTGTCTTTTTTTTTCTTTCTAGAATTACTTCAAAATTGTAACAGGAAACTACATTTGCTTACAGAAAATAACTTAAAGCTCTTAACATTATACGACTGTTTCTAATTAAATGTCATTGTCAAGGCTGTCAAACTTTGATAAAACTTCAGTATCTAAATACACATCGTATCGCGGTATCAATATCTAGTTACGCTTCGTATCAACCCAAGTTATTATATTTCGTATTTAGTAATAAAATAGAGGAATGATTTAGTCATTACGTTATTATATTTAGTAATTAGTAATAAAATAATGGAATGATTATATTTAGTATTTAGTAATAAATAGAAGAATGATTTAGCCATTACGTTATTATATTTAGTATTTAGTAATAGAATAGATGAATGATTTAGCCATTACGTTATCATATTTAGTAATAGAATACAGGAATGATTTAGCCATTACGTTATTATACTTAGTAATAAAATACAAGAATGATTTAGCCATTACATTAATATATTAAGTATTTAGTAATAAAATATTGGAATGATTTAGGCATTGCGTTATTATATTTATGATTACGTTACAGATTTACACAAAATCAGTTCAAAAGAAGAAAGCTCTTAGCTAATTATTTACCTTTACACACTGGTGACTGACCAGTCCACTGAACACTGCTTTGGTCACCTTCACAGGTGATGACCTCTTTTCCTACAAGCCTGTGGTCACTCGCACATGTGAATCTACAGATGCTTCCCCATGTTGTGCCATTAGAACAACTTACGTATCCATGGTCCGGGGCCTTCAGAAGCGGACATTTTAGAACTATAGATCATAAGAGAATCATTATTATAAACATATTATATAAAAATTGTAAAATTAACAAAATTTTTGTTATTCATTTTCTAAGATGATGTTGCGTTATCTTTAAAAAAAGATATTAATTGATTAAGCAGTTTATTTTTGCAGTAGTAAATAAAATTAAGTTACGACAATACTAAACTTGATTCAATAGTTGATTATATGTTCGTTTAACAAACTAAGAAGTAAAATTATTCATGTGTAAAAGCAACGACAACAAGTCGTGAGGTGTTTCGAATCCCACAACATGTTAGCACTTTCAGTTAGTTGTCTCGTTACTTACTATATTGTATCTGCCATGAACTGGAATAGAATGTGGATTGGTAGTTGTAATGATAATAATAACGTTTAGAGTTTGTTTCAATCATGATTTGGAAGAGAGAAATAATAACGCTTAGAGTTTGTTTCAGCCATGAACTGGAATAGAATGTGGATTGGTAGTTGTAATGATAATAATAACGTTTAGAGTTTGTTTCAACCACGGTTTGGAAGAGAGAATGGATAAGTAGGCTTCATAATAACGTTTAGAGTTTGTTTCAACCATGATTTGGAAGAGAGAGTGGATTAGTAGGCTTAATAATAACGCTTAGAGTTTGTCTCAACCATGATTTGGAAGAGAGAATGGATTGGTATGCTTAATAATGACGCTTAGAGGTTGTCTCAACCATGAATTGGAAGATAAAATGGATTGGTAGGCGTAATAATAACGCTTAAAGTTTGTCTCAGGCATAGTTTAGAAGAGAAAATGGATTGGTAGGCGAAACAGCAATTGCTTGTAATAGTTGGTTCAAAAACACGAAAAACAGAATAAAAAACATACAAAGATCTCAAATAATATGAGATGATGATGAAAAGCCTATTTTAATATTTGTACATTTTTCAAGTTAAAAATTGCTAATAAAACTGAATCCCAAAGATAAAAAACACCATTTAAGTAGCATCTCATTTGCGCACGACTTGTTTCTTTTTATTATGTGAAATAAAAATGGCCGATTTTCACCTTAAACTTTTTAGTAGAGCTTGGCGATCGACACGTTGACTTTCGAAAAATAAAAAATAATCATAGAAGCGAGTTATCTCCCCCCCAAAAAAAAATTACTGAAAATCATATTTCATTGCCTGCTACTGTTCTATTACGTAATAATTTTATAGGGCAGAGTACGTTGCATTAAAGCAATTTTGAATATGCAAATCAGCAAGTTATGTGACCACCACAGTCGATAAAATATTGATCACTTTTGGGAAGGATATGTAACACCCCTTTCCAATGCAAAATATTCATACACTCAGATCATAAAGATGTGTTCAGATCAGGGATTTAGAATATCCAAGATGGGAATATTCCTTGTTATTAATGATATTGTAAAACAAATGAACACTTGGAAACATCCACAAAGAGACCTGCAACAAGCCGTAAAGCAGCCATGGCAAGCAAAATACCACATTTTGTAAAAAGTAAGAATCCATGAACACAAAGGTCAGAGGCAAGAGCCGTGCACGTTCCCAGGCAACAGCACGCAACATAATGAAGAAGGATATTCATATGAAAAAGCGTAATGATTTTTTTTCTCTGTCATATTGTTCGGTTAATTAAATCGCAATCAACGTGTGCCTTCAAAATACGACAAAGAAAATCAACTGAAACAGCTAAATAAGTTAAGGCTCAGATTTACTCGAGGCCGGAACTGACAGTAAGAATAATCTAAGACTCGTGTTTCACTTGAAGCTGAAACTGACAGGTTTGTGTATAGACTAAGGCTCATCTTTCACTTGAAGCTGAAACTGACAGGTTTGTGTATAAAGTAAGGCTCATCTTTCACTTGAAGCTGAAACTGACAGGTTTGTGTATAAAGTAAGGCTCATCTTTCACTTGAAGCTGAAACTGACAGGTTTGTGTATAGACTAAGGCTCATCTTTCACTTGAAGCTGAAACTGACAGGTTTGTGTATAAAGTAAGGCTCATCTTTCACTTCAAGCTGAGACTGGCAGGTTTGTGAATAAGCCCAAGCTCACCTTTCACTTGAAGCTGGAACTGACAGGTTTGTGTATAAGCCCAAGCTCACCTTTCACTTGAAGCTGGAACTGACATGTTTGTGTATAAGCTAAGGTTCATCATTCACTTGAAGCTGGAACTGATAGGTTTGTGTAAAAGCTAAGACTTACCTTTCACTTGAATCTGGTACAGACAGGTTTAAACTATACGTTAAAACTCGATTTTTACTTGAAGCCGGAACTGAGAGGTTGAAAGTATAAGTTAAGGCTCACCTTTTACGTGAAGCCGGAACTGGCAGGTTTGAAGTTTGATTCCAGCTTTCTTAATGTGGAGTTGTATGAAATATTCACCTTCGGAGACCTTAGTGCCAGGCCTGGGACCAAGAGTTACAGCAATCTCTACTGAACCTGGAGATCTTAACAGCCTACAAGAGCAAAAAACATGGTAACCAATTAATAAAGTTGTCCAGATACTCAGACTTCTATAACTAAACACGTATACTTACGTATAATATGAGAAATACGGAGCTTTCATTTGCTGTACAAAATGCTAACTGAAACAGAAACTGGTTGACCAAAGTTACGAAATGGTCAGCTTCAGTCACCAACAGCGTATGAAGATGTGCTTCCATAGAAGCAAGAGAGAGAAGAGTGAGGATGTCTCTTAAAATATCCTGACCTTTTGTAAATTACCTTTCCATACTCTTATAGGAAATACATCTTTAATTTCGATGACGGAACCCACTTTGAGATTAATAATGCTTGGAGACGGCTTGAATGGTGATGATGATGACTGAACCTTGTCGAAACGTTGTACATTTACTGTTATGTTAAACTTATATTAAAGTTTTTCTTCATCACCTATTCAAGCCGTTTCCAAGCATTACATATCTTTAGTTTGTCTTTCCGACAGACAAAGACAACTCAGATTTTGTTTGTTCACCCGGCCTTCGTTGATGTGATACAGCTAGTTAGAGTACAATTAGATTTTGTGTTTTTCCTTATACAATACAGTTAGATTTGGTTTTGTGGCTATTTACTGTTACAGTAAAGAAGTCTAGAATAAGAGACGTGTGCAATTCACCAATAGTATCAACGCATTTAATTTAACATTTTCATCGGAGTTAATGAACCAACATTCAGTTATATTTCAACACATACGTGATGCAAATCATTCACACAATTCATACATTGCGAGTTATTTTAAGCCACATTCATCAGCTGTGAGTTCACCTTGGTCAAGATAGAACCTGTTCTAATGATATTAATTTAAATCAATACTAGCTAATGAAGACAAAGTTAATATGACATGACGTTTAGCCAGCGTTAGCCTGGCATCATCAGGCAACAGATGTACAAGGAAGTTGAAAAAAGGATAGTGTAAGTAGAAGAAGTAGAGAAAATCCAGATTTTCGAGAAGCGTAAAATATGTTGGATAAATTATCCAAACAAGTTTAGGTGTCGGGTGAACGGCGAGAAGGATCATGCTGGACGTCATAGGACAGTGAAGACTGTAACACTTCTAGCTTATTATTTTCAAGCTACCTTCCAAAGATCACCTAATGATGAAAGTTAAGATATGAACTCCTGTTTCTTCAAGTTAAACAAACTTCTTTTTTGAGAAAGTGGTTAAGACGTGGGTTTTTGCGTTTGGGGGTAATTTAAATCCTTTATTGACCTATCTAGTGGAGAACAGAATAACACAGGGACTCATGTGTCTTCGTGTTAAGGAAGATTCATTACTGACTCATCTGATAAACAGCTACTTAAGGTAGAGTCCATTTTATCTTGGACTAATCAAAGTCCTTTCTTGACTAATTTGGTGGGGTACTGGTTAAGCCGTAATTTGTGGGTCGCGGATTCGAATCCCGTCACCGAACATGCTCGCACTTTTAGCCGTGGATGGGGTTATAATGTGACGGTCAATCCCACTATTCGATGGTAAAGACTAGTCAAATTGTTGGTGGTGGGTACTGTTTACTAGCTGCCTTTCTATAGTCTGTCTTTTCGAAATTAGGTACAACTAACGCAGATAGCCCTCGAGTAGTTTCGCGCGAAATTAAAAAACAAACAGAGTATTGGTTAAGAAAATGCTAAACATAATCCTTTCCTGATCAATATGGTAGGGAGACATTTAAGACATGAACCCCTATTTTTTTGGAATTAGCAAAACTGTTAACAGACCAATCATAGGGAGAAAGTGCAGATATAGATCTCTGTTTCTGGGTTGAACAAAATACTTTACTGGTCAGTCTGGTGCGGTTAAAAGATGGGTTCCACTTTTTTAAAATAATCCAAAACCTAGTTTGTATTCACCATTTCTATCGCTTTATTGCCATGTTAAATTACTATAAAATTATTTAACCGTATCTATAAAACTAGCAGGCTTCTAATAGGGGATACAAGTTTGGGAAATAATTAGGGGGGTGCGTATCTCATCATAGTAGTCGATACGATACGTATCTAGATACAGAAGTTCTACCAACGGTTTGTTACAAAGTTTGACAGTCTTGTCTGTAATTCATTATCTATATTACTAACATTGTCTTATTTAAGTACTTCACACTTTACAGTCCTTTTTCAAATTCTCAGGTTTGATCAACTGAATGGCAGCTGGCAAGAAAAGTAAAATAAAAAAAAGTTAATATCTATCTATCTGTTTTGTTATGTTACTTTGCGTGTAATGTTTATGATGAAAGAAATGAAGTCAACATGTAGTACTAAATACTCATATTCCTCTGTTGAATCGTTAATTTTTAGCAAAAATACTTTATTAAAAATTCTGATTTTTTCTGTACAAAAGACATATAATGTTTACTGAAAGCTTGACAAATTTCGTGAAGGTACATAAATCGTATCGGACGATGTATCGATACAATCGTATCACGGCTTCACGATACGATACTCGTATCGTATCACTGTATCGTCACACCTTTATAAATAATAGTTTTATTTAATTTCTTTTCCAAAATTCACAATTATCCTCTCTAAAGACGTTTATAATTTGTGTGATTGTTTTATCACAAATTATATATGTATATATATATATATATATGTTTGAAAACTCGCTGCAACCATAGTTTCTCAGAAGTCTTACCATGCTAAAAATCGAGTTTCGATACTTGTTGTGGGCAGAGAAGAGTTAACCCATTATGGAGCTAACGCTTAACAACAACCAAGCCAAAGCAACTCCAATGTCCTCCAAGCCAGACGTGCCACTCTCTGCACGTTTTTGTCATCCTGACATTGAACTACCACATTTTTTCGTTTTTTTACTAGTTGGGGGTACTGATTGATATTCATACCATAACAAGGGTGGAGAGCCTATCCTAAGTTTCACCAGTGGGTGGCGCTTTCAGGAGCTATAGAAAAAAAACTAAACTTTATTAATGACGAGAAATATTTGTGGTGAGAAAATTCTGTCTGGTTTAAATACTGGTAGGATGAGAGCATGGGTGGAAAGAGTTTGAGCGACTGACGATGGATTGATTAGCTGTTTGTTTCAAACATAGCTCACAGAATGTAAGGGGTCAGTTAATTATGAGGATTGTGGCTATACAAAACATACGTGCCTTCCGGTTTGAAAGCTTATAACAGTAAAATTCGGTGGGCACAACACAGATAGCACATTGTGAAATTTATGCTTAATAATCCAGTAAAACACGTAACTTTATCACACATACACTATCAGTTTCTACCACAAAATAAACATACTTACTTACCGGCGAATTGTAAAGTTCGCTGGAAAACTAGTAAAACATAACACCATGGTAATATTCTTTTACATAAATTCATAAAGCTAGTGCTCACTGTTAGTAAAAACTGCTCCAAAAATGTATTTTCAATAAATGTTATTCTTTAGGAAAAATACAATTTAAGATCAGCATGAGAGATAAACTTTTAGCGTGATTAAACAATACATCAAAATAAGTTGAATGTGTGAAAGATAAACTTTTAGCGTGATTAAACAATACATCAAAATAAGTTGAATGTATGAGAGCTAAACTTTTAGCGTGATTAAACAATACATCAAAATAAGTTGAATGTGTGAGAGATAAACTTTTAGCTTGATTAAACAATACATCAAAATAACTTGAATGTACGAGAGCTAAACTTTTAGCGTGATTAAACAATACATCAAAATAAGTTGAATGTGTGAGAGATGCTAATCTTTTAACGTGATTAAACAAAACATCAAAATATGTTAGATGTTAAAACTTTTAGTGTAATGTTGAACAAAATATTCGCATAAGTTGAATATGTGATAATATTAAGCTTGTCACCAACATTAGATAAACGTGAGAGTTAAAACTTTTAACACAACGTTAAACTGACATCCAGTTAAGTTGAAGGCACAGTGTGAACATTAACGTTTCGTCAAGTCGTAGATACTACGTTTCAAGATGTAAGTACTACGTTTTGTTAAGTTGTAATTTGTCAAGTACTATATAGGACGTTTCGTCAAGTTGTAAATAGTAAATTTCGTCTAGGTATAGATACTACTTTTCGATAAGTCGTATGCAATCCGTTTCGTCAAGTTCTAAACAGTACGTTTCGCCAAGTTGTAAATAGTAAATGTTTTCAAGGTATAGATACTACTTTTCGATAAGTTATATGCAGTCCGTTTCGCTAAGTTCTAAACAGTACGTTTCGTCAAGTTTTATATAGTACATGTCGTCAAAATTTTGATACTACTTTTCGATAAGTTGTATTCAGTCCGTTTCGTCAAGTTTTATATAGTACATGTCGTCAAAATTTTGATACTACTTTTCGATAAGTTATATACAGTCCGTAGATTCTACGCTTCGTCAAGTTGTTGATACTACATTTCATCAAGTTGTAGATACTACATTTCGTCAAGTTGTAGATTCTACGTTTCGTCCAGTTGTTGATATTACATTTCGTCAAGTTGTAGATTCTACGTTTCGTCCAGTTGTTGATATTACATTTCGTCAAGTTGTACATACGACATTTCGTCAAGTTGTAGATACTACTATTCGTCAAGTTGCGGATACTACATTTCATCAGGTTGTAGATACTACGTTTCGTCAAGCTGTAGATACTAAATTTGGTCAAGCTGTTGACACTACTTTTCGTCAAGTTGTTGATATTACATTTCGCCAAATTGTAGATACCACATTTCATCAAGTTGTAGATACTACATTTCGTCAACTTGTAGATTCTACGTTTCGTCAAGTTGTAGATACTACGTTTCGTCAAGTTCTTCTGAACCTTACCGAGAACATGTCCTAACAGGAGGCAAAGAGGTGACAGCACAGGTTTGACCCCGGTCCACAATTATTTTTTGATCACGTGGACATCTGATGCACATACTTGAGATAGGCCTGTTGGTTGTGCGGAGGCTCATGGATCTTCTTATTGGTAGCTGAGTATCTGCTAAAATAAATGAATTAGAACAGGGGATCTTTAGCCCAACCTGCATTGAAACAAGACACCTCTAGCTTATGCCATGTTAACCCTTCTATAGCTTAACCTGTGTGATGCAGGACATCTTTAGTTTAACTCGTGTCGAAACAAATATCTCCAGTTTAACCTGTGTTGGAACAATAATTTCTATCTTAACCTATTTGTAACAGGACATCTTTAGTCTAACTCGTGTCGAAACAAAACATCTCCCGCTTAACCTGTGTTGGAACAAGAATTTTTAGCTTAACCTGTGTGTGGCAGGACATCTCTAGCTTAACTTGTATCGAAACATAAATCTCCAACTTAACCTGATGGCAGGTAATTTTTAGCTTAACTTATGTGTGGCAGGACATCTCTAGCTTAATTTGTATCGAAACAGAAATTTCCAACTTAACCTGTGTGTGACAGGTAATTTTTAGCTTAACCTGTGTGTGGCAAGACATCTTTAGCCTAATTTGTGTCGAAACAAGGTATCTCCAGTTTAACCTGTTTCGAAACAAGTCATATTTAGCTTAAACTTGCGGAGACAGGACATCACTAGCGTAACTTGTGACGAAACAAGATATCTTTAGCTTAACCTGTGTCGAAACAAGGCATCTCCAGTTTAACCTGTGTCGAGACAAGGCATTCTATAGCTTAACCTTCTGGAGACAAGACATCTCTAGCCTGTGTGTTTGTGTTTGTTATGAATTTCGCGCAAAGCTACACGAGGGCTATCTGGGATAGCCGTCCCTAATTTAGCAGTGTAAGACTCGAGGGAAGGCAGCTAGTCATCGCCACCCACCGCCAACTCTTGGGCTACTCTTTTACCAACGAATAGTGGGATTGACCGTCACATTATAACACACAGATGAAAGGGCGAGCATGGTTGGTGTGATGGGGATTCGAACCCGCGACCCTCAGATTGCTAAGCGAGCGCCCTAACCACCTGGCCATGCCGGGCCATCTCTAGCCTAACTTGTGTCGAAACAAGGCATCTCCAGTTTAACACCTCAATAGAAACAGGATATCACTTAATTAACCTGTGTTGAGACAGGAAATATCTAGCTTAATTTGTGTCGAGACAATTAAAAAAATTAAAATGTTAATATTTTAAAATTGACTCTAACACAAGTTATTTTGAAATAATAAATTAAAACACAAGTTCACTAAAAGTAATCACAGCTTTAATAACAGGGGAAAACATAGTCACAGCGATAGCAAAAACTGCAATGTTTTAAAATTTTATTGTGTTCAGAAAAAAGTTTAAAAATATAAATGGAAAGAAAAGCTTCATAGTCTCTGAATAAACAAACAAATATTTCTTTATCAAAAGGATCCTTGCAAAATTTTACATTAATAAATTAACCTTCAAAAACAAACAAAACGGTGGTGATGACAGCTTAATAACGTCATTCCTCCAAAAAAAAAAAACAACAACAAGAACTGAGACACCAAAATCATCGTGGAATTTGAAAGAAACCTTTTTTTTATCTACAACTGGATAAGTCAGATCTGAACGCTAAACATAGCACGTAGAACAAAACTCATTGTAGACGTACTTTATCACATCATTTCAGCATAATGATGTCCAACGTGTAATCCAGAAATTACATGTACCGCTCTTAGCTAGAATAAATAAATAATTTTACAAAAGTCTCTTTTGATTCTGAATTAGTATTCGCCACTCTTGACTAAAATAAAAACAATCATAAGTTATTCTTCTTAGAAACTGTCTATCAAAGTCTAATAGTCCTAAACGTATATTTTAAAGCTTTAATAAGTTTATAAATAATATCAAGAAACTTATCGTTGATGGCTCGTAAAGATTAAAATGTGGATATCAGCCACTGATCCCACACCAAGTTAATTCATCAAGCAGAAGTATCCACCAAATAACCGCATCTGGGGAACATGTACATAATAAATTAGATTATTTAGATTTCAAACCTTCAACATAATCATTATTGGCTCCCCAACTTTGAATAAGTACCTTTTTAGGAATTAGCGTAATAGTAGTGATCACAAAAAATTACCTTTAACGTGAAAGATACACAAGACAAATAATAGTCTTCTTAATTCTCACTCCAAAATAATTAATCACCTGAGGACACATTGAAGTTGTTTGTTTGAAACGCTCTGTGATATGACCAATGAATGAAGAAGAAACTAACAATTTATTGATTTCACTAGAAAGAGAGTGAATATCTATAAACAAAAGTTTGTATAGTAAAAATTCAGTATTTTTTAATAAGGACTAAGTAATGTCATCCCTGAGTAGCTTCTTAAGTTTATTTATTAATGATAATGTTGTATAACTAGAAAACGTTTCAAACGGGGGAACCCTAAAGTGATCAATTCTTAAACATGCATTTTCCAATTAAAGTATTGGTCAATCTATAAGGTGAAAGGACAACATATTCCCAACACCCAAATATGATCTCAGCCAATCTATAAGGAGAGAAGTTAAAATTCTCCCCAACTCCCAAATAAGGTTACAATCAATCTATAAGGTGAAGAGCCAGCATGCCCTCCTCAACTCCTAAATAAGATCTCAGCCAACCTATTAGGTGAGGGGACAATATGTTCCCCAGATCTCATATAGAATCTCAGTCAGTCTATAAAGTGCGGAGTTAACATGCTCCCCAATTTTCAAATATGGTCTCAGTCCATCTGTAAGTTGAAGAGTTTAAATGCTCTACAAAGGTGCATTGTAAACATTTCAGAAGTAAAGGATAAACTTAAATTCCTTCTATGAAGAATCTGCTCCTCCATCTAATTAATACTATTCCAAACACAAAACGTTGTATTTTCACCAAATGAATACAGTTCCAAACACAAAACGTTGTATCTTCACCAAATGAATACAGTTCCAACCACAGGACGTTGTATCTTCACCAAATGAATACAGTTCCAAACAAAAAACTTTGTATCTTCACCAAATCAATACAGTTCCAAACACAAAACGTTGTATCTTCACCAAAAGAATACAGTTCCAACCACAGGACTTTGTATTTTCACCAAATGAATACAGTTTCAAACACAGAACGTTGTATCTTCACCAAATGAATACAGTTCCAAACACAGAACATTGTATCTTCACCAAATGAATACAGTTCCAAACACAAAACGTTGTATCTTCACCAAATGAATACAGTTCCAACACAAAACGTTGTATCTTCACCAAACACAAAACGTTGTATCTTCACCAAATGAATACAGTTCCAAACACAGAACGTTGTGTCTTCACCAAATGAATACAGTTCCAAACACAGAACGTTGTATCTTCACCAAATGAATACAGTTCCAAACACAGAACGTTGTATCTTCACCAAATAAATATATTTCCAAACACAGAACGTTGTATCTTCACCAAATGAATACAGTTCCAAACACAGAACGTTGTATCTTCACCAAATGAATACAGTTCCAAACAGATGAAAAAGAAACATACTTTCCTCAAATGAATACAGTTGCAAACGGATAACCAAAACAAAATAACACTGCTTCTCTAAATAATTACTACTCAAAGCAAACTAATTCAAAGAAACTATAAAGCAACTATTAACTACAATCATGGTCCAGAACTTTTAAGAATATAAGGTTGATAATACTTACTCAGAACAATGACCATACTTATATACTCTTCGTAGACAACAAAATTTCCATGGAAACAAGCTCTCGTGAAGAATTAAGGTTAATCTTAAACCACGTATATTGAAAAACTTTTCACAGACTATCCACTAAATGTCAACTTCCAAAACAACGTTTAAGGAGACTGAAGGCAAAAAATATATTCAAAATATATCGAGGAATTTAAGTGATATGTGATCGAGTGTGTGTGCTATGATTTTAGTGATATGTGATCGAGTGTGTGCTATGATTTTAGTGATATGTGATAGAGTGTGTGCTATGATTTAAGTGATATGTGATCGAGTGTGTGCTATGATTTAAGTGATATGTGATCGAGTGTGTGCTATGATTTAAGTGATGTGTGATCGAGTGTGTGCTATGATTTAAGTGATATGTGATTGAGTGTGTGCTATGATTTTTGCTTCTTCAACCATCTTTCTTATGAAATTAGCTGTTGATTCAAGATAAGGCTGGAAGCTTGTGAACTTTCTGTTTCTCGGCCTTAGTCGTCTTCAGATTCCTGTTTATTTTCTTCATTGCAATGGTGTTTGGAAGGCTTTATCGTAACCATAATTTTTATTTTGCATAAACGTTGCTTCATGTAAACTTGGGGTGTAGTTCCGGAGGACATTGCTTATCTTAAACGCTAAGCTTCCATGGAGAACAGTAAAGGCTTTCTTCTTCAAAATGTACTGTCCTTTGAATGTACACCATTTAACAATTTCTTGACGTAGAAATCATTATGTGGAAAGAGCTGTAAGACATTTCTTCAGCCAGGAATATATTCCAACGAGAATTGCACCGTGAAACAGATGTATAATTCCTGAACATGTGGCCTGTACCACATATGAATGGAGCTTAGACAAGATATATCTGAATATAAATAAATTAATAACTCCGAACCTAAAGATCCTCCCACCAATCTGAATATAAAGAAATTAATAACTCCGAACCTAAGGATCCTCCCACCGATCTGAATATAAAGAAAGTAATAACTCCGAACCTAAATATTCTCCCGCTAATCTGAATATAAAGCATCGAATAACTCCGAATCTAAATATTCTCCCGCTAATCTGAATATAAAGCATCGAATAACTTCGAACCTAAGTATCCTTGCATCATTATGAATCTAAGAATACTACATATAGATATCCTTTCTTCACTCCGAATCTAAGAATATTGCCATTATTCTGAATGTAAAGATAGTGCGGTCATTCTGAATCTAAGGTTACTGCCATCTTTCTAAATCTAAGGTTATTGCCACTTCTAAATTTAAGATTACTATCAGCACTCTAAACCTAAGGATACTGTAATCTGAAGATGATATAATTAATATGAATCTAGGGATACTATGGTCAGGTGAATCTAAAGTTACTATCGTTAGTGTTGGTCTAAAGATACTATGGTCAGTGTGAATCTAAAGTTACTAGCGTTAGTATTGGTCTAAAGATACTATTGTGAGTGTGAATCTAAAGATACTATCGTCAGTGTGAATCTAACGATACTATCGTTAGTGTTGGTTTAAATATACTATCGTCAGTGTGAATCTAAAGTTCATCCCACAACTATTCTAAGTCTGAGGATTCTCTGCTACCCAAGACTACTTAAATGCAACTTACAATCTAGTCACCCAGTGGGTCAGCGGTAAGTTTGCGGACTTAAAACGCTAAAATCCGGGGTTTGATAACTCGAGATGGACAGAGAGCAGATAGTCCATCATGTAACTTTGCGGTAAAACAAATTACATTCTAACAATAACTTTAAAATCTTTCAAGCTAGTCAGTTTCACATTCTAAAAAGAACGGGTTCAGAAGCTTATAAAAATGATAAACTTCAGCCATACCAGCGCATGGATTGTATAACCATACCAGAATGGTGCACATGGATTGTAAAATCATACTAAAATGGTGCACATGGATTGTATAACCATACCAGAATGGTGCACATGGATTGTAAAACCATACTAAAATGGTGCACATGGATTGTAAAACCATACCAGAATGGTGCACATGGATTGTAAAACCATACTAAAATGGTGCACATGGATTGTATAACCATAACAGAATGGTGCATATGGATTGTAAAACCATACTAAAATGGTGCACATGGATTGTAAAACCATACTAAAATGATGCACATGGATTGTATAACCATACCAGAATGGTGCACATGGATTGTATAAACATACCAGCATGTTGCACATGGATTGTATAATCATATCAGCATGGTGCACATGGATTGTATAAGCATACTAGAATGGTGCACATGGATTGTATAACCATACCAGCATGGTGCACATGGATTGTATAACCATACCAGAATGGTGCACATGGAATAATTTGACTTCAAAGAGACCACTAACACAAAATTCATGTAATGTAATAAATAACGCAATGTTTTATCGATTAGGTTTCTAAGTAAGTCTCAGTCTATTTTAGTTTTAGGTTTACAAGTCCTTCAAAAGGAAATAAAAATCTAAACCTCGTAAATTAATAGTCTATATTTTCCAGATGGATTAATTATCTGCTTTTTAGATGTATAGGTTTACACTAACATCTCCGCCATGCATCCAAGCTTACTTGAAGTAACCCAATAAAAAATGGCATTGATTAAGGAAGATAAGAATAGATAGATAGAAAGATAGATAGATATTTGTATTTAATGAAACATATAGCTTGACATAAAATATTGTTTGAAGAAAACAAAGTTTAACCTACTAAGAAACTTAGGCATATTCAATTCTCAAGTTATATAATTCATTTATAAACATCAGTATCCTTTACGCTAAACGCTCTGCTTTGCATGAATAACGTTTTTTTTATATATTTATATTTCGTCAGAATTCGCGATGATTTATTTAAAATGTGTGCTGTTAGGTTTCTCGCAACGCTATAAAAATGAACATATAGATAACAGATGGCCAAGTAGATAGAGGGATATTAAGATGAAGCCGAACATAGAGACATATAAATAAAAATACGAATTCCTATACAGAATAACATACAGATATACAGATAATCAGATAGATAGAGATACATTAAAGTAAACCTAAGAATATGGATGACCAGATGGACAAATAAATAACGAGATAGATAGATAGCTATACAGACCAAAATAGAGATACACGGATAATCAGATAGATAGAGAGACATTAAAATAAATCTAAGTATATGGATGGCCAAATAGACAAATAGATAACGATATAGATAGATAGTTATACAGATACACAGATAATGACAAGTATGTTAAACAGATCGACAGCCGGATTACTATCTTTATAGATAAATAAGTAAATGTAAATAAAAGCCGTAGATAGATGTAAAAACACAGAGATATAGAGAAAGATAAGTAGATAAAATATTGATGAATATAAGTTTGTTTTAGAGTAAAACCAAGTGGGATATCTATCGTGTCCACCACAGGGTATCGAACCCAGGATTTTAGCATTGTAAGCTTACCGCTGCCCTATCGGGGTATATAAAAATAAGGAGATCCATGAGAAGTTAGCTAGATAAAATACAAATAAATATAAGTATAATGAGATGTACAGAAAGATAAGTAAATAAAATACAGATAAATATAAGAGTAATGAGATGTACAGAAAGATAAGTAAATAAAATACAGATAAATATAAGAGTAATGAGATGTATAGGAAGATAAGTATATAAGATGAAGGTAAATATACGAGTAAGGAGATATATAGGAAGATAAGTAGATAAAATACAGATGAATATGCGAGTAAGGAGATGTATAGGAAGATAAGTAGATAAAATACAGATAAATATACGAGTAAGGAGATGTATAGGAAGATAAGTAGATAAAATACAGATAAATATACGAGTAAGGAGATGTATAGGAAGATAAGTAGATAAAATACAGATGAATATGCGAGTAAGGAGATGTATAGGAAGATAAGTAGATAAAATACAGATAAATATACGAGTAAGGAGATGTATAGGAAGATAAGTAGATAAGATACAGATAAATATATGAGTAAGGAGATGTATAGGAAGATAACCAGGTAAAATACAGATAGATATAACAATAAGAAAATGAAAAGGAAAGTAAAAAATATCCAAATAGGTAGAACAGTCTGATATGAAACATCAGATTATATCAAAAATAGAAGATCAAAGAGACTGATAAGCAAATTTAGAGATAATCCGATAAATTAACCTGCTTCGTATACAGACCAGCGAATAAACAAATAGCTTTATTTGTCTGTATTTTATCTAGTTATCTTCCCATATATCTCCTTATTCTATCAGGGTTGCCACGTACAAACTGATAGATAGATAGGAAGGTATTTGTTAGTTAAGGGATGATCTAGTTTCGTCCATGCCTGTTTTAGTGTTAACAGATGTCCCTCCATACAAAGACAGTGTTCATCTTATAACCTTTAGCAATCATTTCAAATTACTTTATGATATTGGCAAGGCTAATGATAAGTGTGGTATGAAAAAAGTTTACAAATAAGCAGGCTGACGGTTGAGTTAAACCAGATCAGGCGGCCATCGCTTTATTGTTGATATTCAATTCTTACTTCTGTAGTAGAAACTCTGTGGAATGGCTTTCCTGGCTCCCTCTATCTGCACATGAAACAACTTCTGTGGACGAGGTTGTTTGGTGTACCGATCCCGATAAGCCCTTGGTGGTGTTGAAATATTCACCACACTGCCTCTACGCCGTTGCCCTCTAGTGTATGCCTGATAAGATGATGGACTTGTCAGAGGAAGTTTGATGGTGTATCTTTCTGACGCACGTTCTCTGGAAGGAAAAACTTGAGATACATGAGTTAAAATTATATTAGACCTATTGTAGGCTGGTTGGTCACTTTGAACTTCCAATCGTGAGTTGTTACTACCGAAGTGATCCTGTGCAGGAGCAAAGAAACGAGCAGCTCCTTCTCCTTTACGTCGTCTTGGGATCCTAGTGCGGGTGTGACCTTTTCTCGCAGTTGAAATCGTAATATGCCCTCGAACGCCATGGCGGCGATACGTTAAACGATTTAGTCGGCCCCCTATGATAAGAATGTAAATACTTAGAACAAAATAAAAAGAATAAAGATTTTAAATAACAAGGAAAATATAATATTTCTTAACTTTAAAATGTTATTACTACGCAAGTGTTATATAACTGCTTCTAATTGGCTACAATAGTTAAAAGCATTTTTATTGGAGAGCAACATTTGATGCCTAGACCCGCTGGGTTTAAGAGTGTTAGCTTGATCTATCTTAAGGTTGTTACAAATAGTAAGCAACAGCTGAGGGATATACTTGGTAGCAGAAGTTCAACAATAAAGGGATGTTTGAAAATAAAATTTAAGCTTGTTTAAATTAACCTGATTAAAATTGTATTTTGGCAATGTTTCTGTCCATTACTGTCATCTCATTTATTAGTTAATGTGTGATCATTGGATTACTTGATGCCCCAGTAGTTTCATCTGCGTTTTTCTATTTTACGAAAACTAGTTTATTAATGTTATTAGTTACTATATTTACAAATGCATTAAATCTTCCTTTCATTCTATCATCTTTCACATAATATCTTTAAACAACGATCGTTCTTATGAAACAGAAATAATCAGTGAGTTATTTAGAAGTATGGCACTTGCTTTCTAACGATAGAATTCATTGTTCTTGTAACCAGTTCGATACTTAAAACCACAAGGCACACTTCTAGAAACCGTCATTAGTCATTTGAACCACAACTTACTTTTAAGCGGGTAATGTCCACCTTGTAACAAGGTGGATTTTGGATCATATCTATTAGTTGTAGCTCCAAACAGATGAGGCGAGAGAGATGAGAACCTTCGATTATTGTTATCATAGTGCACACGATTCGCTAGGTGGCGCCAATGAGCTCTCTGGTTATACATAGGACTACGTCCGTCTTCTGAAATACGGGACTGGCTAATCTGTGGTATGCGTCTTCCTTGGTGAAATATACGATCTCTATATCTGTAAATCAATCACAAAATACACGTAATATGTCATCCATGATCTTCCATATACAGAATATGATGTTATCCCTACACGATGTCAGTTGCTCCGTTATTAAACTGTATATATTATTATTAATAACGAAAAAAGTATCTTCAACTTATATTAACGATTATAGAATCAATTGCTATTAGGCCATTACCTTTGTTTGCTCTGGTAATAATAATGCTATTATTGTTACCAAACAAATATGATTATATTCATTAAATGAATTGTTACTATGACAATAACTTAATGTTCTATTATTTATAATATATTTTATTATACACAAACTGAAATACCCATCAAATGAATATTTAAAGTAAATTTAACAACAATCATATATTTCAAAGTAATAACTTGAACATAAACTTTATTTCAACATTTTAGAATTATAACAAAGCTTCTTCATAAACAACATTTACAGTTTTCTTTCCATCTAACAACAAATAAAGATTTTGAGGTGATCCCACCCTTGAATACCCTACATCTCACTGACCATGAGAAAGCATGGTTGTTTGGGAAACAATCCAGCAACTTTCATACTTTGACCTTGAATCCACTTAGAATATTCAACATTGTCGAATATGTCAACCTGCCAAGATTGTTTGAGATTGACTCAATAGGCTGGGAGTAATCAAACAACAGACTTTACAAAACAGAAATAAGGCTAAGCTCAATTTTGACCCCCCTTAGGACATTCTCAATAGTTCATAGTGTTTACATACAAATTTTGATTGGCCCATTAGGCTCGGAGGAGTTAGGGTGCAAACAAACACACATTTCGTCTTTATACATACATATATATATATATATATATATATATTGATTATGAAATCAATTGTTAGTGTCCCTCGGTGAAACAGCGATAAGTTTGCAGACTTATAACCTTGAAATTCTGGATTCGATTAGCTGCGGTGGACATAGAAGTTTGTCCAAAGTGGCCTTGCTCTCAAACGAAGAAAGAAGGAATCCTAGTATTTGTTATTATACTACTTCTTATAATTAATTATGGCTTTAGTAAAATAATATTTCTGTTAATCGACGTATCATTTTAAAAAGACTTAAAGCACAAAATAAAGAAATTCCGTGAGAAAAACAACAACACACGAAGCAACACATTCATGCATTTAGTTTCTACGGAAGAGGTCAATGTTCGCAATCAAAGTGAGTTAGTTTAAATAAATAACTCTGCATGTAACGTAAACATACGCTGGAAGTTTGATAAGTGCACTAAACATTAAATATTATTACCGAAGTTAAAAACGGCCCACTAATTTATGTTGCCGATATCTGTGTGAATTAACTATATTGCAAGTTATCATCCCATTTTAAATCTGACGAGCACACCAAACATTAAATATTATTACCGATGTTAAAAACGGCCCACTAATTTATGTTGCCGATATCTGTGTGAATTAACTACGTGGCCAGTTGTCATCCCATTTCAAGTTTGGTAAGT